CTTTGCCCTTGTCTAACTTCACAGTGGGAGCTGGCTCAGGGCTCATCTGCGGAGGACTCCAGGGACCCCCTCTCTTTACTGCGCCTCCTTCCCCATCCTCCCAGGCACACCTTCCCCAGACACACACGCTAAGAAGGACACCAGACCCACAGTTGACTACTGAGGGGTGCCTGCCTGTAGACCCTCTGGGCAGCACCCCCCCGCCCCCCAGCAGAGAGGAGGAGATAAGACAGAGAATAAACAAATAGCCCTGATCAGGCAGGTCCGAAGGAGGGGCAGGGACAGAGAGGGCTGCGGTGCAGTGCAGCTGCTAGATCTCTTCAGGAAGGGGGCTGGAGGAAAGGGCACCTGCTCCTGCAGTGCAGCTGAGGTGAGTGCAGGGAAGTGCGGTATGTCCAGGCATGTGGGCTGCTTTTACCTAGGGGTCTCCCATTAAGACCTGCTGAGAGAATGAGAAACCAGGCTGTGAAGAACCAGAAGTACAAGGGTGAGGCTGGGGATGTGAAGGTGGCCCATGACTCACAGGGCAGACAGCCTCAGCAATTTCTGTGTTTGGTGAAGGGAAGCGTAGATGGCATCAGATGCTGCCTGTGGGCAGTTTTCAAGCAATGTTTCAGTGATCAGTTTACTGGGTGCCCATGTAGAGCCTGGCAGAAGTTGCCCTAAATGAAGGTGAACAGGGACAGAGAACAGATGGGCTTGGAAATGGGCTAGAATTAGACTGGGGTTCGGTGTGTGAACGGGGCCAGTCCCAGGTTGGTGGTGTGGCCCAAGCTCATTTTATGACTAGGGGTCACACTATAGCTCGGCTTGGGGTGTGAGCTCTGAATGGGGTCCAGGCTAATTGGATACTTTGCGTCAGGAGTCAGGCTGTGGCTGAGATTGAGACGATTGAGACTTAACAATCTTCCTGGGACTCTGTGCCTAGGATCAGGGTTTAGTCTTCAGCCAATTTAGAAAGTGCATTAGCGTCTACACTGTAACGTTCCCTGCCTTGTACTCTACCCCAGCCACACTGAACCACTTGCGGCTTTCCAAACAAGGTACGTTCTCTTTTTCTCTGGGTCTTTGCATTTGTGAGAGTGCACTTTTAAAAATAAATTAGACCAGGTCTGTTGCTTAAATTCCTCCAAGTCACTTAGAATAAAAAAAAAAAAAAAAAAAAAAAAATCAAAGCTCCTGGCCTTGTGCTGCAAGCCACTACTACATGATCTGATCCCTTCCCTTGCTCTGCCCTCATTTTCTAAAACTCTCCTGTGCTCTGGATACTCCTGCCATGTTGACCTTCTTTCTATTCTGTGAATCCCCAAACTCAAGACCCTTTCCTCTTGTTGTCTCTTCTGCCTGGAACGTTCTTTACCTAGGTCTTAGAATGGCTGGCATATTTCATCACACAGCTCTCAGCTTATGTGTCACCCCCTCAGAGAGGCTTTCACTGACTCCCATCTCAAATATGGGTGCCCTGACCCTGTCCTTTGCCTACTATCATGCTGACCTGTCTTCAGTGCACTTATCTTTGTCTAAAATGTCTTGCTTATTTATTTGTTTACTTTTTTTTTGAGGATTTTATTTTATTATTTTTTATTTTTGTTTAAATATTTGTTGCCCTGCCGGGCGTGGCTCAGCGGTTGAGCACNCACTTATCTTTGTCTAAAATGTCTTGCTTATTTATTTGTTTACTTTTTTTGAGGATTTTATTTTATTTTATTATTTTTTATTTTTGTTTAAAATATTTGTTGCCCTGCCNCGATTGGACCTAGGGTTAGGGTTATGTTGAGGGCTAGGTTTAGAAACTGTCTCTTATACACATCTAGATGTGTATAAGAGACAGGGAGGCAGCTGATCAATGACTCTCTCATCATTGATATTTCTGTCTCTCTCTCTCCCTCTTCTTTCTNAATATTTGTTGCCCTGCCGGGCGTGGCTCAGCGGTTGAGCATTGACCTAGGACCCAGGCGATCGGGGTTCGATTCCTGGTCAGGGCACATGCCCGGTTGCGGGCTTGATCAATGACTCTCTCATCATTGATATTTCTATCTCTCTCTCTCCCTCTTCTTTCCGCTGTCTGAAATCAATAAAGATATATTTAAAAATAAATAAGTAAAATATTTGTTAACTTTTTTATCGCCCTCTTAGTGCATGAGTTCCATGGGGACAGTGACCTTTTCTGTTTTACCCACTGTTTTATCTCCAGTTTGGGGCAAATAGCCGGCACTCTATACGTTTTTATTGTCTAACTGAATGTTGCTGTCTCCATGCCCCCAAGCTTGCCTGGTTAACTGCTATTGGCCCCACAAGTCTTGGCTCAGACGTTACCTCCTCAAGGAAGCCCTCTGAGCATGACAACTTGGTGAGCTATTGTCTGTTTGCTTCTAAGGCCCTTATAGTTACCCTTGTGCTAGCATGTATCAAAACATGCTGTGATGGCCACATATTTGTCTCAATTTCTTCCCACTGCTGGAGGGCTGAACTGTGACTTGTTTACTCTGTAACTTAGTATCTCCAGTCTGGTCCACAATAGACAACTAATCAATAATTGTTGAAGAAATCAGTGTTTCAATCAAAGTCCCAGATCCGGCTTTCCACTGCACCATATTTCCCTGTGTGCAGGCAGCAGGCAGAGTAGCTGTGATAGGCACTAATAACTAGGTCAAGCTTTCCAGCTCTCTCAGGCTCTGACTGGCTCTGGTCCTCCTTGGGAAGTAGAGGGACAGGGACTGGAACACCTGGGGCTCTGTGTAGGCCGACTTGAGTGAGTAGAGTGGGACTGGGACTTTTTATTGAGTTAGAAATTGCACTCTTTTATCTTTCCATTCTCACCTTAGCCATTCTAAAAAGAAAGGACAAGGCCCTGCAAAGGTTCATCTGTTTTATCAAATACAAGCAAGCTATGGGGAACAGGGGATGTGATAATTTGGAATGGATGTGATTCTGGGGCTACCACCCTGGTGGAGTATTAGGAAAAGGGGCTTCTCCACAAATTGAGTGATGAACTCCAACCGTCCTCTGCCTGCCTTCTGGTGGCACTGTGGGAGATTGGGATGCTTCAGGGATGGGCAGTGTGAAGGGAGATACTTGGGCCCTCTGGCTGGCTCCCTTGCCCATCCCTTTATTTCTCTCCTGCTGCAGTGTCCTGAGGTCCAGCCTGATATTTTAACTCCAGCAACAGCTACCCATTTCCTGCTGCCAAGGCAGCTCCTGCCCAGTCCAGCTGAATCTTCCTCTCTGATTTCTCCATATCAGTGCTTAGTTTTTGCCATTTTAAGAGACTGACTGTTAGTCAGCATGTATGTGTGCATGAGTGTGTGCTTGAGGTGGAGTGGCAGTGAAAGTGAAATAGGAGGGAAATGAAAAGTTTTTAGAAACTTTAAACCTTTTCAGAGATCTTGTTTCCCATATTTATGGAAATGTAAAAAAAAAAAAAAAAAGTGCTTTGCACACTACAATGCAGTTTTTACAATGCTTTTTGACATGCTTTATCTCATATAATTTTGCAGCAGCACTGTGAGTTCTTATTGGCCTCTGCATTTATTTAGAGCTGAGCCTTGCATTCCTTGCCCCAGGACTCTCTGCTCATTACATCATTTTACCCTCAGAGGTTATAGCATTGAACATGGCAATCCATGATTCTTTCCCAACATGTCTCCTGGTCATTGCCCTGCACTACCATGTCTGTTCATGTGAAATTCCTGGACAGTATGGATATCTGGCTCTGTGGAGAACCAGAGCCTTCTGCTAATGTCTGCAGGTGAGTGATCTTACCCCCCTCTCTTGGGCACAAACCAAACATAAACAAAGTGTGTATGTCCACTTTACAGTTATTTAGAGCCAAGGCTTTGGCACCTGCTCTGTTCTCCATGTAGCCTCTCATGCCCTCTGGCTTCCTGGGTAAGAAAGGCCTTTTCTGTTTAACCCTAAAGATTCTTGTTCTGAAGTTAAGACCACCCCACCCTGACCTTCCAAACATTCTTTTATTCTTCTCAAAAGTCTCCAAAGTCCAGACAACTGGCACTTTGACTGTGTTATTCTCATTAGATGCTTACTGAAGGACTCCTCTTTTCATAAAACTTATTTTCATTTTCAATAAATATTAACTGACCACTAATAAATATGGTAGAGTTTCTGCCATTAAGAATTCATAATTCAGGGGAAAGCAAATATGCAATAATTATAGCTCAGGAGAGTAAATTTGTAAAGTCAGACCTAAACAAAGTTCCTTGGGAGCACAGAGCAGGAAATATTTAATTGTACCCTGGGGGAAAGAGAATTAGGAAAATAGCATAGGTGAGACAGAGACAGTAAACCAGGATGTGAAAGATGAGTAAGATTTTGCTCAGTGGAAAGTCAGGCAAGGAGGTCTGGGAGGATCTTGACAAAGGAACGAGAAGTGAAAAAGACAAAAAGACACCGTGGCACGGGAATCAATGCAACTTTATGAAACACTATGTGTTCTAACATGGCTGAATCACAGGGGCCATGGAAAGGAGTGGTAAGAGAGAAACCTAGCGCCAGATGCTGAAAGACGGACCTTTACCACAGTTTAGTCTTTATTCTAGAATTAATTTCAAGCTTTCAAAGAAAAATTTTAAAACAAGAGGTAGTGACCTGACTTCTTTCGGTTAGAAGATAATTGGGGTTGCGCTAATGAAAAAGGCTACAAGAGAGTCAAGGCCGTCAGAATCGGAGTACCTAGTTTGTGTGACTGTTTCAGTCACCATAACAGAAAAAAGGAAACACTAAAGGAAAAACAGTTAACAACAGCAGATATGATGTTTTGCACATTTACTCTGTGCCCGACATTGTGTTATGTGCTTCACACTCATTATCTCATTTGATCCTCACATTGACCTCTACTAGGCAGTGACTATTATCCTCAGTTTAAAGATGAGAAACTCAGGCTTAGAAAGGTTAACTGAACAGGGCATCAGTGCGGAGGGAAAGAGGTGCAGTATTGTGATTCAGGAGGATCTGACAATTGCTTATCTTTGCATTCTAGCCTCTTCCTGCCAGGCATTGATTGCAGCTCAGCTTCTTCACTATGGTGGGTCCTAATGGCAATGAATCCAGCGCCACATATTTCATTCTCATAGGCCTCCCTGGCTTGGAAGAAGCTCAGTTTTGGTTGGCCTTCCCATTGTGCTTCCTTTACCTTATTGCTGTGCTAGGTAACTTGACAATCATCTACATTGTGTGGACGGAGCACAGCCTACACGAACCCATGTACATTTTTCTTTGCATGCTTTCTGGCCTGGACATCCTCATTTCCACTTCATCCATGCCCAAAATGATGGCCATCTTCTGGTTCAATTCTACCACCATCCAGTTTGATGCTTGTCTGCTACAGATGTTTGCCATCCACTCCTTATCTGGCATGGAGTCCACAGTATTGTTGGCCATGGCCTTTGACCGCTATGTGGCAATCTGCCACCCACTACGCCATGCCACTGTGCTAACATTACCTCGCGTTACCAAGATTGGCATGGCTGCTGTGGTACGAGGTGCTGCACTTATGGCACCCCTGCCTGTCTTCATCAAATGGCTACCTTTCTGCGGCTCCAATATCCTTTCCCATTCCTACTGCCTACACCAAGATGTCATGAAGCTCGCCTGTGCTGACATCCATGTCAATGTCATCTATGGCCTCATCGTCATCATCTCTGCCATTGGCCTGGACTCACTTCTCATCTCCTTGTCATATCTGCTTATCCTCAAGACTGTGTTGGGGTTGACACGTGAAGCCCAGACAAAGGCATTTGGCACCTGTGTCTCTCATGTGTGTGCTGTTTTCATATTCTATGTACCGTTCATTGGATTGTCCATGGTGCACCGCTTTGGCAAGCAGCATGACTCCCTCCTTCCCATCATCATGGCCAACACCTACCTCCTTGTCCCTCCTGTTCTCAACCCTATTGTCTATGGAGTAAAGACAAAGGAGATTCGGCAGCGCATCCTTCATCTTTTCCACGTGACAACCAACACTTTAGATCCCTAGGTGTCAGTGGTCAAACTTTTTCATTTGAAGTCCTTCAACTCAGATTTTAATATCAACATTTTGGGAGACAGCATTAGGGGAAAAACATTTTCCTTAATAAAAGCACAACTGATTCTTCAAAGATAAAACTGGTTGGAGCATCTCCATGCAGATAACGGCAGCCAGAACCATACATGCCCAATAGTCATTTTTTTAATATTATTTTTCCCTTTAGTACTTTTCTATGAATAATTATTAAAATCCTGAGGTCGTTGTAGTTGGAGGATTATTATTTCCCTTTTAACCATTCAGTCCAAATCTCTAAACTGTTTGCACTGATAGTCCACAGCATTCTGAAATAAGAGGGATCCATCTAAAGCATATTTACCAAAGGCTTAAACATGATAAAAGGAAATAAACACAAGAATGCAAGAATACAATATGTAATTTGGCTTAAAACTATGATTTTTCTCCTCAGAATCCCCAATCATATTGGATCTCAGAAAAGGAGATATACCTGGGTTTTCTTCTTCAAAATGATCTCCACAGAGAATAAATAATATATTTTCTTCTGGTTACCAGCCCTTAAGAGGAAGATTGGGAGTAGAACCATGCAAAGACTACTGTTACCTGCATTAATGAAAGATGACACACTCTGTTCTGAGAGTTTTCACAGCCCATGAACAATTTTCCTTATTCAGTTTAAGCAGGAATATAGTAAGCACCCTCATTGTACTAATGGGGAAATTGATGTTCATTGGGGATTAATGAATTACATGAGGCCACAGAAAAAATTGTCTTTTGATGCCCAGTCCTCTGTCCTGGGGAGGAATTGTTTGAGAGACCAGTGGGATAGTGAGTTAGACATTTCCATAGTCTTGCATTTTCAAGGGAAGGTATTTAATTTCCTTTCTCACTCATCCAGAATTTTAATTAGGAATTTCCCATTAATGTTGTTGGTGGGGGTTCTGGTGTGGGGCTGGGATCCCTGGCTTCTCAGGAGGCGGCTCTCCAGCCAAGATATCCCTCCTGATTTTTAACCACCATATGTGGGTGTGAGACCATTCCATTCTGCTTTCCTGCCCCTCTTACCAGACTTGATGTGACTTCTTTATATCTTTAGTTATAGGACTTCTGTTCAGCTAGGTTTTAGGTGTTTCTGAATAATGATTTTTCCGTAGTTTAGTTGTAGTTTTGATGTGACTGTGGGAGGTTCCAAGTGCCTCATTTACCTATGCCGCCATTGTGGCCGGAAGCCCCATCTGTTTCTTTCTATCTGTAGCTCCACTCCCTCTGACTATTTCAATAGCTTTCTAACTGATAACTTTGCGTGTATTATAGCTTTAATTTAATATGTTCTCCACCACACAATAAAAAATAATCCTTCTAAAATAAATGTGATCATATCAAAACCACCCTCATCCCTGCTTAAAGCACCCATCATTTCCCACTATTTCTGATTGGTCCTCATTTATGTTTTCAGGTTTATCTTATGCCATGGATTCTTTGCTCTTTGACTTTCAGTCACCCTGCTCTTTATTCCATTCCTTTACCATGCCATATTTCTCCTTCTACAAGCTCTTTGGAGACATGATTTTCTTTGCCTAAAATACCTTCTCCTAAACACCTGCTCTTCCATTTTTCTAGTTAATTTATCCTCAATAATCAGACATTACCTTAATTTTCACTTCTTGAGAAAAACCATTCCTGACACTTTAGAACAGGTTACTTTTATTGTTTGCTATCCTAGAAACATCCATCAATTAATCCATTTATTTAGTCACTATAGTAGTCAGAAATCTAAAATGCCCCACAAAAATATCCTGTTTGCATTTCCATAACCTTTGAATATGGTGAAATCTCACTCCCATGATTGTGTTATGTTATATGGTACCATTGACCTTAAGATAGGTAGTTCATATCTAGGTGGGCTTGATCTAATCACATGAGCCCTTACAAGAAGAGAGATCTTCATCTGGTGATCGAAGAAATCAGAGATATTTAATGAATTTGTGTTCCTTACATAAGAATCAAGTTGGTTTTGGTACCATTGCATTCTCATTACCTAGCAGAGTACCTGGCACATAGAGATCACTAAGAACAAAACAAAAAATAATTTGTTAACACATAAAGGATGAAATGCTCCAAGTTTGATATCTGGTAAGTACAAGGGACAGGTCTGATGGAATTTAAGATTTGTTTTCCCGACTCTAAAGTTGTGTTCTTAACCACTACAACGCATGCTCCTACTTACCCAGTGCAGACACTATATACTCAGACCTTGTGATATTGAACCTCACACTTTCAGAGGAGTGGTGATGGGGTAAGTAAGAAGGAAGACACATGTGCCCTTATAGCTTCACTTTGTAAGAAGGCACACTCAAGCAGAAATAAAATGACAAATCTTAGCATAGTGATTTTTTTTTTTTTTTTTTGCTATAAGAATTCTTCATGAAGCCAGAATATTCCACTGAGGTGTGAAGGACATCAAATTTTGGAAAACGGTAGGGGAGAGCCCCTAAGGTGAAAATGTAGGAAACCTTCACTAAGGGAAAGGGCTTAATTCAGTCAATCTCTTGTGTTTAGCCTCTCATATCTCCAGGTCACCTATCCAAGTTCACCAGGAAACCTTCTCACAAACTTTTGGGATTATTTATATGTAGTCTTTTTTTTTTTTTTTTTT